TACTCCCTCTATTCCCACTTTGCTAAGTGTTTTATCATAAATGGGTGTCGTACCTTATCAAATGCTTTTCCTGCATCTTTTGATATGATTATGTGATTGTGGTCTTTCAGTTTGTTTTGTGATGTATTATGTTTGTTGATTTGCAAATATTGTACCATCCATGTATCCCTGGGATGAATCCCACTTGATCATGGTGTATGATCTTTTTAAGGTACTGCTAGATGTGGTTTGACAATATTTTTTTGAGGATTTTAGTGTCTATGTTCATCAGCAATATTGGCCTGACATTTACTTCTTTGTGGTATCTTTATCTGGTTTTGGGTTAGGATGATGCTGGCTGCATAAAAAGACTTTAGGAGTCTTCTACTTTTTGGGATTTTTTTTTTAATAATTTGGAATATAGGTTAGCTTTTCCCTTAAATGCTTTGTAAAATTCTCCTGTGAAACCTTCTGGTCCAGGGCTTTTGTGTCAGAAGCTTTTTGATTACTGCCTCAATTTCTTTTGCTGTTATTGGTCTGTTCAGGCTTTCTGCTTCTTCTTCATTCAGTTTTGGAAGATTATATTTTTCTAGAAATTTGTCCATTTCACCTAGGTTTTCAAATTTCTTGGCATACAGTTCTTTGTAGTAATTTCTTACAATCCTTTGTATTTCTGTCGTATCAGTTGTAATCTCTCCCCTTTCATTTCTGATTGTGTTTATCTGGGTCTTCTCTGTCTCTGTCTCTCTCTCTCTCTCTCTCTCTCTTTATGAGTCTGCTTAAAGGCTTGTCAACTTTGTTTACCTCTTCAAAGAACTAGCTCCTCGATTCATTGATCCTTAGAATTGTGCTTTTAGTCTCTATGTCATTTAATTCTGCTATGATCTTGGTTATTCCCTTCCTTTTAATTGCTCTGGGCTGTCTTTGTTGTTGTTCCTATAGTTCTTACAGGAGTAGGGTTAGGTTGTTTATTTGAAATGTTTCTATCTTTTTTAGGTAGGCCTGTATTGCTAGGAACTTCCTCTTGAGGACTGCCTTCACTGTGTCCTATAAGTTTTGGACTGCTGTGAGTTCATTTTCATTTCTTTCCAGAAACTTCTTGATTTCTTCCTTAATCTCATTCTTGACCCATTAATTGTTTAATGGCATGCTATTTGATCTTTGACAGTGGGGTGTTAAAATCCCCTACTATATTTGTGTTGCTGTCAATATCTTTCTTGAGGTCTTCCAAGATTTTTTTTTAATGTATTTGGGTGCTCCTATGTTGGGTGCATATATATTTACAATGTTTATGTCTTCTTCATGTATTCTTCCTTTGAGTATTATAAAGTGACCTTCTGGGTCTCTCTTTATGGCCCTTTTTTGGAAGTCTATTTTGTTTGATATGAAGATTGCTACCCTGACATTTTTTTCCTTTCCATTTGCTTGGAAAATTTGTTTCCATCCCTTCATTTTCAGTCTTTGTAGGTCTTTTGCTTTGAGGTGGGTCTCTTGTAGTCAGCATATGTGTGGGTCATGATTTCTTATCCATTCAGCGATTCTATGTTTTTGATTGGGGCATTTAATCCATTTACATTTAAGGATATTATTAATAGGCAGATATTCATTGCCTTTTTTTTTGTACCTGTGTTGTTCTCTCTCTTACTGTTTTTCTTCCTGTTTTTAAAAGAGACCCTTTAGCATCTCTTCCAGAGTGGATTTGGAGGAGGTGTATTATTTAAGGTTGCTTTTGTCTGGGGAGTTCCTTATTTGGCCTTTCATTTTAATTGAGAGCCTTGCTGGATAGAGTAGTCTCAATTGCAAGTGCTTGGTTTTCATGACTTGTAATATTTCTTGCCATTCTCTTTTGGCTTGGAGTGTTTTCATTGAGAAGTAAGCTTCTAGTCTCATCGGGGTTCCCTTGTATGTTACTTCTTGTTCCTCTCTTTCTGCCTTTAAGATTCTTTCTTTGTCTTGGAATTTTGCCATTTTAATTATGATGTGATTTGAAGTGGGCCTCTTTGGGTTCCTCTTGATTGGACTGTCTGTGTTTCCTGGATTTGTGTGACTTTTTCTCTCATCAAATTAGGAAAGTTTTCCATCATTACTTTTTCAAATAGGTTTTCTATCCCTTGCTGCTGCTGCTCCTCCTCCTCCTCCTCCTCCTCCTCTTCTTCTTCTTCTTCTTCTTCTTCTTCTTCTTCTTCTTCTTCTTCTTCTTCTTCTTCTTCTTCTTCTATCCCTATTATATGTCTGTTATTATGTTTCATGTTGCCTTGCATTTCCCTTAAGCCCTCTTCATTTTTTCTGATTCTCTTTTTCTTTTTCTTGTGTTGTCTGGATGTTTCTTTCTGCCTTGTCCTCCAGCTCACTGATCTGATCCTCTGCTTCATCTAACCTGCTTTTCATTCCTTCTACTGTTTTCTTCAATTCAGAAATTGTATTCCTCCTTTCCTCTTGGCCCTTGTTGATAGTTTCTATTTTCTTTTTTTTATGTTGATATAGTTTGCAGTGAATTCCTTTTAGTTTCCTTGTATTTTCTGGTAACTCTCTCTGAGTTCATTGAGGTCCCTGATGACCATTGGTTTGAACTCAATATCTGATAGGTGACTTGCCTCTATTTCACTTAGCATTCTTTCTGAGGCTTTCTCCTTTCCTTTCATTTGGGGTTGTTTCTTTGTCCTTCCATTGTTTTGAGACTCCTCTTTTAGCTTCTGCTTCTTAAATTGATGTGTTGTGATTTCCTGGGTTTATGGTGTGAACTTCTATGGTAGAAGACCTGAGAAATTCTGTGTGCAGTCTCATTGGTCTCCTGTGCTCACTGGTCTTGGGCTGTCATTTATGTTGGCTCTGTGCATGTTTTTCAGTTTTTATTGTTGCTGAGTCTTTCTTTGGTGGGTCCTTCCCTCCAGCTGGTTAACTGAGGGTCATTCTGTCCACCACATCTTGTATTCTTTTGTGCAGGTGTGGGAAGGTTGTGTTAAATCTGGGTCTTCCATATGTATGAGGTTTTGAGGCTTCTCTCTCACTCTTGTTCCATTGTTTGTTCTGAGTAATTTCCCCACCGTTTAGTTGTAATTCCAGATTGTTCCTGGGTGGAGTTTAGTGTGGCTTCCACTCCCTCCTTCCCCTTCTTCAGTTGTTATCTGTTGGTGGTTCCTTTGTTGGTCAGTTTCATATTCCAGCAGGTATACTGGTGTTCACAGTTCCCACCTACTTGTCTGATTTTTCAATGTCCTCTACAGTTTTGACTTCCAATCTTCATATATGCTGGGAATCCATTGACTGTTCATTCTGTTCCTCAGAATATCAGTTAGGTGTTCCACCTGTGCACAGGGGGAAGTGGACTCTGCTCCCACATATCTTGTTGACATCTTTCTGTCTCCTTTGTAACATCTGAGGCACTGCTTCTGAAGCTTTATTGTGTATATGAATACCTGAAGATGCTTAAGTGCAGAGACTGAACTCATTCTGGTAAATGCCTAGATATTCTGCACAAATAGCTCCACCAGATGCCAGTGTTTCTAGAGCTTTTTCATATGGAATATGTTTCTTCCAAACAATAACCTTTGTTAAGTTTTAGTTATTCATGAGCACTTTAAAAAATAACTTCCCAAATACATTTTATCTGTTCAATCTCCTGTTTAAAAATCTCTGGAGTAGAGGAATCCTCCTTTCCTTCCCTTTTTGCCTTCCATTTCTTTTACAAAGCATTGAGTTCAGAGCACTGGATAAGAGTCAATAAACCTAGTGTGTGACAGTTACAGAGAGAAGAGCATTAAATTAAGAGTCAGAAAACCAGGGCTCAAGTCCAAAGCCATGCTACTGTCCAGCTGGGTGACATTGGGCAAGCCACTTCCTCTCTTTGTACTTGATCTTGCCAATAATTAAAAATGATGGCTTTGATCTCCATACCCTCTAAATACCCTTTGATTGAAGGTTGTTTTCATGCTCAGATTTGAACTAGAATAAAGTGTTATTTCAGGTGTGTGGTGCCTTTCAGGATAAATTTTCTTCTATTGGAAGATGTAGTGTCATCTCCGTTGCTGTAATGTCATGGGACCTGCTTATTAATCAATAAAAATAATGGGGTAATGTGTAGGGCTTTACAAATGAGTAGCCACAGATTTAATAATCTATAATATGTAAACTTGATAAATCTATCTTTTATTGTTGTGCTTAAGTATAACATAAGGTGACAAATGTTGCCCCACTTATCTTGAGCAACTGAGCATTTAGTTATTTGACATAATTTAAATGTTTTGCATCAGTCTCTTAAGCTACTCGCATATGAATAAGAAACATTTCAGGTCACTTTCAAATGGTTATTTTTATTTACTTTTACTGAGTAATGATACTCTAAATCTCTATAAAAGAGAGACATTTTCCCTTTTGTCTCCCTTTCTTAAATATCTAGTGACTCTTCTCTTAGTGATAACAAGGACAATGCTAAATAAGATAGTTAAAGCAATTTACCATCACAGACATTTTCACATACATTATCTTATTATTTGAGGGTCACAGCGATTTCTGGAGATACTGGTGAGAAAAGTCAAGCCTTAGAGAGCCAAACTGGCATTAAATGACAAAGCTCTTGTGGATGAATCCAGGCCTTCTGGTTTTGCCCTGCTTCACTCATTAGGCACTTTTCAAGTGTGAGATACTTTTCAGAGGGAGCATTTGAAAGTTTTAATCAATTATTCTCAAGCATTAATCAATCACTTCTGCTAATAATAGTGAAGCCCTACTATATGCTATGTAATGCCCTTAGGCACTGGGGAGATAAAAGTGACTAAACTGTTGTATTTTCCATAAGCAGAATAATGGTCCCCAAAGATGTCCATGTTCTAAGCCCCTAAACCGGTAAATACAATACTTACAAAGCAAGAGAGACTTTGTAATGTGATTAACTTAAAGATCTTGAGCACCAGAGATGATCTTTGCCAGGGTGATCTGCTGACCAAGATTGTACAAGTGGACCCTAAAGGTAATCACAGGGTTGTTTTGTAAGGTGAAGGAGGGTCAGAGTCAGAAGAGATGTGATGACAGAAGCAGAGGTGAGAAAGAGATTTGAAGATGGTATGCTGCTAGCCGTGAAAGTAGAGGAAGAGGTCACAGGCCAATGGAGGTAGGTGACCCATAGAAGCCAGAAAAAAAAAAACACAATTGTCCCTCAGAGCCTTCAGGGAATGCAAATCTGCTATCACCTTGATTTTAGATGAGACCCATTTCAGTCTTCTGATGTCCAGAACCAAAAGAATAAATCTGTTGTTTGAAGCCACTGAATTTGTTCTAATTTATTACAGCAACCACGGGAAACTGATACGGTGGCTGTCTCAAAGGACTCACCTTCTATTATAGTAAACAGATCAGTCGGGGTAAGTGAGGGCAAAGAGGCACTGTGGAGTGCTGGGCAGTGGAGACAAGAGGCTCTGAATCCAGCCTGGAGGGAAGGTGCACAGTGAGGATTCCTCAAGAAAGTAACAGGAAGATGAGCCACAAACATCTGAGTACAGTTTTTCTGTGTGTCACTGTGCCCAAGGTAGGGTTACTCCAACAGGAAATGAACCTTCCATTTATCTTGAAGGGTGAGGGACAAAGCACTAGAGGACCTATTGTTCCTGATGATTCTGTACCCAGACCCAGTCTATTTGGAGTCCTTGGCAGAGGCATCCTATCTGCTTCCATGGAGCACACTGGTTGGTTATCGATTATACATCTGTGTGCAATCTACATACATTTGATATATGAATATATATGTATATACACACACTTATATATCAGCATACTATTCAATAACCATGAACTTAGAGACTTGCTGTGGAATTTGAAACAGCTGAAGCTTGAAGTTGATCATCTTTCCAGTATGTGTTAGAGCATACATTACAATGAATGGAAGTAATTATAGGCAGATTAAATGACGGTGCCATGGTTTATTAGAGTATGATTTCTCAAGCCATTCAGTACTCTAAATAACAATAAATTATATTAGATTTCTGATATTATTTGAGCATGTAAAGGGCTATGGATCTATGGGTATCTGATACTTGAAAAGCTTCAGCATTCAGTTTTTGTTGAATTTGTAATTAACAAATGAAACTAAGCTAATCATAGTAAATTGTTCATTTGACAACATTCTTGTTGTTGAGAACACTGTGTGCTGAGGAACAAGGATGTGAAGTGCTGCAGAGTGTGGGCCTATGTGTGCTCTTGTATGTCACAATACCGATCAACAAATGAATGCCTCTATCACACCATATCCAAATGGTGTGTTACTGTGATAAAATGCTTCATCCTTGCAGGCTGCTGATTCATCTGGCTTGAACAGTATATGTTCATCAATTATTGCTTTATATTGAAAGGCACAGTTTAATTTTGCTCAAGATTGGCTGGCACTTTCCCAAGAAAATATCAGTAATCTGAGGAGTTTTAAAAGTAATGTGTGAAATGTATGTGAAACAGGTAGAAAGAAGCTGCTGGTGGCTTATGCTAATCAAAATTCCTCCTAGTAATTGCAAGCACCTTAGAAAGAAAAAGGCATTAAAGGCTTCAAAACTGCACAGAATTTAGATTCAAAGACACAGTAACTGGTAGATTGTCACACTCTATCATTTATTCCCTTTAGTTTCTATACCTAAAAAAAGTACTCATCTTGTATAATGAAATTTACAATAAGCCAAGAGTAGTGCTTAGGTTCTTTTGATGTTTCAGAAAAGGGCCCTTCTGGACAGTGTGCATGTTGGTTATTAAGATATTAGGGACCACAATGTCAGTGACTACTTAATATAATTTTGTTTTACTAGTTTAATGTGCACTAGTGATACTCAGTTGAGTCTTAGCATCAATACACTCATAATATATGGTGCAGTGCCTTCATATAGTGCATTGGGTATAAGCATATTAAACATATTACACAGAGCTCAACACCTCACATATTATTGATAAATAATGCACCAATTAGGTAATACAGCAGTCATAAAAATAAACACTGGCATATGTGTACAAGGTCTAAATGAAAATGATATTGAGGGAACAAGTGAGAATAGATAATTGGAGTTAATAAAATAGGACCAACATAGGATATACTGTTACAGTAAGCTCCAAAGCACAAAATCTTTTATTGGTTTGAAGCAGAGCACTGAAACCAATATTGTTTAAGCCAAGTGGGTGATTAAGTAGATCTAGACAATCTCTTTTTAGGCTAGTACTGCCCAACAGAAATATGTGAGCCACAAATGCAAACCAGATATGTAAGTTTAAATTTTCTAGTTTCCATGTTAAAAAAGTGAAGAGAAACAGGTGAAATTAATTTTAATAACATTTTATTGAACTCACTGTATGCCAAATACCATTTCAACTGCAATCTGTGTAAAATTATAAATTATGTATTTAATACTATTTTCATATGCTTTGAGATCTGGTGTGTCTTATGCTTATAGCATATTTCAGTTCAGACAAGCCATTTTACAAATACATAGTTTGGCTGGTGGCTACCATTTTAGACATTGCAGTTTTAGATTATTGCATTATAATCTCTTTCCTCTTCTTCCTATATTGTATACTCCTTTGGATAAGTGGTTCCTTAGAAGGTTGTGACAGTGAGATTGAATGTGTTAACTGAAGGGACTGAGATTCAGAGTGGCCTATGACTTGCTCAAGGTCACACACCTTTAAGTGGCAGAATCACTCTCTGAGGCCTTTCCACTATGTGGTCTCCTCCTTTCAAAAGGCCATCTTATATGTATCCCTCTATTTCATTGTTTTCCAAAAAAAATCATCTTTATTGACTATTAGCTAGTCCATTCATAATGATAACCCATAGAAAGCTGTTTTCAAAAAACCTTAAAATTATCTCACTTTGCTTCTAACACTTAGCAACTTTTCTCATATTCTGAAAGAATAGAAGTAGCAAGCATTTTGCAATTAGAGCACAGGATGATTTAATAGAAAAGAAGAGTGCTCTTGGACACAAACAGCTAGCCCTCATACATGACTCTGCTGACCATTAACTGAGTGACAGTGTGAATATTAAGCAGTTAGCCCTTATGGGTCTCAGTGTCTTCCATCTGTGAAATGGGAGATTATAGTGCCTGTCTAACCTATTTCTCAGGGTTGACACAAGTCTCATGCAAGATTATACTTGTGTAAGTGCTTTGTGAAGTGAAAAGTACCATGCAAGTATAAAATTCTGTTGCTTTTCTAAATAGGAGCAACATTTTAAAAATCCTGGTATGTACCAGATTCAGTTATTTAATTTGTAATTACATTAACAACATGGGAATCTACTCACCTTGAAAAAAATATACCACTACAGATAAGGCTAAGTTTTCCTAAATTAACCCTGAATTTCTATTCCTTCCTTTTAACCACCCACTGCAAGTCCACTTTATATAAGCATTTTGTCAAGATGTGAATATTTATGTTAAGGTCCAAGACTAGATATAACAGAAGCAATCAGCATACCCATAATTGTGAATGACAAGCTGGACTGGCAACCTCAGGTAAAGAGACACCCCTCCACAGCAGAGTACATCTGTACCAATACTGTTGCTCTGTGCTGCCACATGTAATATACTTATCACATGTGTAAGGGAGTATGTGTATGCACTATGCCAAGACACAGGAATGAATTTTGCTTTTGTGGATAAATCGACTGGATCCATACTAGATTCCTGGGATAAACCTGCCTCTCATATTGACTCAAAGATTCTTTTTATAAGATCTGGAAAAAATAAAAGCTAGAACTTTTTTCATATCATCTGACAGGAATATTGGCTATTAACTTACTATGGCAGTAGCTGCAGTAGAAAATTTTCTCTTTATTCAGTGAGAGCAGTAGAGGAGAAGAAAAGCTGCCAAACACAACCATGGCAACTTAAATAATGATAATATTATAATGATGATAGAAATAAGAACTGCTATCTGATCAAGTAATTTTTGTTTAAAATATGAAATTTTACAGTATTTAATTGCAAGGCAATATCCACTTTTATTCACTGTTCTTCAGAAAACAAATACAAAATAACAGAAGATTTTAATAACAATAGTGAGAATAGCTAAAATAAACATTGTCAACCAGGTTGTTATCAGGGATATGATTAACATTTGTCTTTTCAAAAGATGAACATGTTGTTTTAATTTCCTTTTTAAATATCCACAACAGGATCTCCAAGTATTTAAATAAAGGAGAGACAGTTTATTAGAACAGAAGGAAACTATCTAGATATATTGGTAACACCTTCCTTGCAAGCATTTCTGACAGCAACCCTATGTTGAAGAGATAATTGCATAAATTGACAGTTATTATCATTTTTAATAAATAACCCTTATTTTTTTTCCTTCCCTCCCTCTGATGCTTCTACACAATTGTGTTCAAAAAGCATATTTTCTGTGGGACCATTTGTATTACAGAGTGATTGAACTCTGATTTGCACATCAATTACCCACCTTTATGGAGATTTTCATGCTCTCCTAGCTGACATCAATGAAGCGTAACTGCGTAAATGCTTTATTTCATACCAGTTTTGGATAACTGAGACTGATAACCAATCATATCGAGAAACAATATGCTATAATACATGAAACAATAACTGTTTCCCTTTGAAATCTCATCGATTCTTTATGAGTTCACCATTCATATGCTTATCTCAATAATCAATTTCTTTCTATAAGACTCTTCCTATCAGTATCACAAGTGCAATTCGATGTTTATACTTGAATATAAGCATTCGTAAAACCAGAGTCTCATTTTTCAGCTTCCCTAAAGAGCAGAAAATCTTGCTGTTTCTTGACAGTATGGTAGACCAGTTTCAGTGAAACATGAACAATCCAAGGAACTGAATTTGTGTGCATCTTTAATCTATCGTTCACTTCTCCATGTTTGTCCCATGGGATCATCTTAAGTGTCACTTGGTTAGTGTGTACCTGAGCTATCTGATAAGCAGAATGTGAACTCCTTCCTTGTTCAAGGTCCATCTGGAACAGCTGCCTGATTTTCTTCCCACCGCATGTCAACCTGAGGATGTTCCTACAGCACTTTGTTTCCGTAGTCACAGCATTATTTTAGAGTGGATTTACCTTTCCTTCTGGGCTGTGAATTTCTTGAAGGCTTATGCTATGCCTTATTCT